GCGGGCTCAGCTGATGTCTAATTGTTCTATATATTGGTAAGACTATATACGTAGCTGATGGTCCTGCAGACATACAACACATATAGTTAGCTTGGTATGTACATCATCAGTGAAGTCTCATCTCGCGTGCATAATCCATCTTAGTATATGGACTACATTGTAGCTCGTATCTCAATAGCATATCCTTTTCATGATGTAGTGTGCATATCATCCGAACAGAAACTATACTTATTGGAGGATGGGACTTGACACCATATTGTCGAACCCATTTCGGACGGACATCCGCATCATATCGCTGGGTATTCTGAATCATATGGCGAGCATTCACGAGTAACGGTATATTGGACTAATGGGGCTCCTATATCCCGGACCGCTTTGTTACCAGACATGGTCACGAACCAAGTCCGATTTCGCTCCGATTTCGCCCCAATCCAGATGTTAGCCATTTCGACCTCGCACGGCCGTGTATCGAGTCAATCGGAACGTTACGAACAGCAAAGGGACTCGGAAATGAAGTCTGGGTCGCCAAGCAACACTCTTGGCTGTTGCCCTCGTCCCGACTGCCGACCGCTTCTGAGCAGTGCATCACGTTCACTTTGTCTTCTTCAGCCCCACCCATTGATTGGCGGCGCTAGAAACACTGGAGCTTTCTACAGCTTTTGCGAGATGAAAACATTCATGAAATTCTGATCGCACGTCTGCGCAAAGAGGCATACGTAGACCACAAAGGACACGGAGAATGCAAGGAAAAATGGGGCGGACGGGACATGAATAGGGGCTTGTGACGACACGAAGCGGAACAGGACATTGAGCGACCCGTCTAAATCCCCTTCAACGCCGCATCGTGGCCTCCGCGACGTGCTTCCTCTGACCTCGGCCACCTGCTCGTACTCCAGACCGCTGAGATCAGTCTGGATCGTGTTGGCATCATGGGTTGGCAATCTGCGGGCCGCATACAACCACCGTATCCCACGTTGGACGTGCACAACGCACACGATTCGTTCGAACTTCGAACGTGACCTGGACGATGAGAACCTCTTAGACTGCATAGAGTAATATTACATGTACACTAAACTTACATGCAAAGCATTGCGAGAGCTTTCCGGATCGTCTTCTATTCTAAAGAGTGTATCTATACCCGCTCCATTTATCGCCTTTTTCGCGCCTGGCCTCGTTGACAGAGCTGAACATGCCATTCTTTTCGCTGCCGCCCTCGGTGCCCTCGATCACCTCATCGCGCTCACCTCTGTCGCGCCGGGCATTCTCTGTCTTGAGAGTGAATATTAGGCACAAAGTCGAAATTAGACCGAAGCCGATGTACATCAGCACAAGCCCGTGGCCGAGGGGATACCATGGCGTCTGATTAGCTCTGTAGACATTGGAGCTGATGGCTCCCTGGATGTTTCCCCTAACATACAAATTTAGAGCATAAGCCAATACGTTCTTGGAATGCCATGCAAACACAAGTACCATGATATAACCATAGCAAGCGAAACACTCCGCTTGTATGTTCCCTCGACATTATTCGATACCCACGCTCTGTGAACATGGTTCAGCAATAAAGACATTTTGACAACTTTTAAGACATACACCGTGTTTGCTGCACACGATCAAGAAGATTATCTCAGGTGAGCTACTAATAAGCATCTCCACAGGAACGACTCACGTATACATGGGTAGATCCCACTAACGCCAAAAACTTCTTTCAGCACCGACGTCCGTGGCCCACAAACGAGCAAAATAGAGGGCGAGAGCTCACCAGGCCGCTAAATATACCGCGATGTACGACAGGGTGGCGTTCCGAGATGAGATAAGAATAATGTATCCCGCGGCACCTGGGTTTGGGTTAGGTTTATGGACAAAGATGTCATGATCAGCAAATCGAAGCTCTTCGAAGAAGGGCTCCGTGCGCTCTCACTTATACAAAGGCAGCTGCTACAGGAAGAAGCGCGAAGCAGCAGTATGTCAGCGAGGGGTGGAAGAAGACGGCACGGCGGAATTGTCTCGCTTACAAGTTCCAGAGTCCTCGATTGCCGTATCGGTCTGCGAGGAAGCCGACTGTACATGTGCAGATGCAGGCGAGAACATATACCGGGACAGTGAGCAGGTTCGCGGGGGTGGCGCTGTACCCTGAATTTAGATCACGCATGATCAGTTTCCCCAGACCCTTTTCAACGGTGGAAGAAAGAGGTGGCTTACCGAGCTGTAGACAAAGATCAGTTCAGTGCTGATAGCATATACAGAACACAGAGAACTTGCCTCGCTAACAATACTAGGAAGGAACAGCGCGAACGCATACAGCGGCATGTCGCTGCCGGCGTACACGATGACTGCACGCGCACATTTCCGACGCACGAAGGTCAACGAGAACGACAGACAAGATTAACGATCAGCTGCTTCGTTCCCAACCCGAGTACAGCCACACGCTGCCACCCCACCCCGAAAGACCGAAAGAAAAGCCAGGGACACGAAAACTCACTGCTCAGATACGTCTTCCACTCCGCCAAACTCTGCTCGATGTACTTCCATCGGAGCTTCTCGCCCGCCGCGCTAAACTGGGCGTCGCCCTGCAGCCGCCTGATGACGAACACCTGCTCGGGCTCCGAGAGAAACCCGGCGTCCTCTGGGAAGTCGACGATGATCCAGAAGGACATGGCACCCGCGACGACGGTGACGAGCCCCTCGATGATGAAGATCCACGACCAGCCGGCTTTGCCGCCAACGCCCTCCATTTTTGAGAGGCCAGCCTGTGGATTTCGGTATTAAAGCACGGAAAAGAAAAAAGAAAAAGGGCAAAATCAGGGAAGAGAATTCACAGCAAGGAGGCCGCCAAATGCGCCTGAGACTGTCGCTGCGGAGAAGAACACGGCGGCCCGGATGCCAAACTCTGAGCGTTTGTACCAGCTACGCGGACGTGTGTCTGGATCAGCAAAGCACGATGCGGTGTGGTGCGGCGAGGATAAGATTGTACTGACCACGAAAGATAGTAGTTCACGCCAGGAAAGAACCCAGCTTCGAAGGTACCGACCATGAATCGGATCGCTATATTAAGCCGGTTAGGTACAGTGCTGGCAGGCCGCGCCGAGGACATGAGAGAGAACGCACCCATGAGGCCACCGTAATTATGAACGAGACCTTGCACCGTCTGCGTGGACGTCAGTGTCATGAGAGAGCGCACGGAGAAATTGTGTTTACCATCACGACACCCCATAGTAACATGAGCACCGAAAGCCACACGGACGGCTTCAGGCGCTTGAGAATGACATTGGACGGGACCTAGCACGGGGAGTTGACACAAGGGGATGCCGTCATAATATTCCTGGCTTACCTCGAAGATCGCATAGGGAATGAAAAAGATGGTGAGACCGAGCAGATACTTTGTGTCGCTAATGTGGAGGTCGGTCTCCATTCCATAAAGCTACGAAGGACGTCGCCGTCAGAATTCGCCAACGACACGCACCAAGTACCCGGCAGGAACAGTCCGAGCAGCGATGCGACGCACCTTTGCATTCCCGATGCTCGACCGGTCCAGGAACGCGAGTAGGTAGAGAAACGAGAGCCACGGAATCGTCCGCGAGTCAATCTTGCGCATCAGCTTCTTCTCGCTGATGCCCGACGTGTCGACGTGCGGCTTGAACACCTCCCCTTCCTCGATCTCAGGCTCACTCTCGCCCTCACCCTTGCCCTTCGCACCGACAGGGACACTGCCTTTCTCAACACGACTCTCGTGCCCCTTCTCGGAAATCCGGCGCGTCGAAGACGTCGGCGAACTCGTGGGCATCGGGACGGACGCGGCCATGACGGGACTGTTGTGGTGGAACCCAGTCTATGGGTCTGAGCTTGACAGAATGGGAGAAGGAGAGAACTAGCGCTCTGCTAGAGCTGTAAAAACGACGCATATATGGGGGCCCAGCGAAAGTTCTGTGGACTCCGCTCCACGGTCCTTGTTAGGACGTGACCCTGTTAGGATGGGATGGCTGCTGGTTAGTTTAGAAACACGGCGCAGAGGTCCGGGTGAACCATAGAACAATCGATGGATCCGCTCGAGAGTGAGCTATGATACGCATGTGATGTGGGAGCCGATGCAGCCGAAGGCAGAAGCTGGTTGTGGAAGATACTTTTGTGGTGATCCACCGGCGCTACTAGCAGGAGAAGCACCCTCTCGAGCTCAAATCGGCTCGTGGAACTGTATGCAGGGCGTGTAGCCGGTTCCTGATGAGAAAAACTGGGTGAAGTTGCAAGGTACAGATTCAAGAAGCCAATAGCAAGAGCCAGCAGCACTCGTCACATGAGCGTACGTTTATCAAAACCCCAGACGCCACTCTGACGAAATGCGGTGGCTGGCCGGCTCATTGGAAGAGCAGAAGCCATCTGCATTCACCCAGAGACGTAAGAAGCAAATAATGTCGTCACTACGTGCATTCCGATCAGAATGTTCTGCTCGCTCACCGAATTTGTTGATCGTCAGGTGCTGCAGGCGAAAGCGGGTCCGGGGTAAGGAACACATGAGCGTTCGGAGGAACAAAGCAGCGAATCAGCTTCCGCGGAGTTAGCCGAACCGCAATTGCCGCAATTCGCGATCGGTTTGTGATCGGCTGGTGGCGCACTTGTCCAGCGTGCAGTTCCATCACTAAATGGGCGGACCGAATATAAGTACATGAGCAGTAGTAGAATCAGTTATAACTGACACCGTACCTTAATGATATTTCGAATCTCCAGCACGAGTGGAGCGTAAAGTCCGTTTTAACATATGGGAAATCAGACCAAAATCAGA